AGCAGCAACAAATGCGTTTAAATATGCAGCTGCAACTGCAGAAACAATAATAACAATCGGCATTGTCTGCGAATCGGTTTATGTGTATATATTTGTGCATGTTTGGGTAGCTGTGGCATCAAATTTATAGACTCCTCTGTTGGCCCTAGGCCATGACTTTCTTATAACTCTTCTCACTTTCGTTCTGTGAAAATAACACTGCACTTAAATATCAACAAGGTTTGGTAGCTCAAAAGATGTACATCACATTACAATAATATAGTACAAAAAATAACAGAAAATTTGATTGAATTTATCTGTATAGATTTCAAGCAGAAATGCAAATCAAAAAAATGTAGCATACTTTTTTGCGTAAGCTGAGTACATCTCCTTTTGTCTTGTGATTCTGATTGAATAAAGAATATTATTTTGTGCTGTGTTGTTTTGGGACCCGGACAAATGCAAATTGCATACATAATTGAGTTTTGCGGGTTGCGGAGTGACAAGGAGGCACAGAGCAGAGGAAGGATAACAGTGGAATTTGCAATCTATACTGGAAGACCCTTCTGCATGCATGTTTCATTACTTTAATTGAAATTATTCCACAATTATATTGAACATATTTGTCTGCAATCAGAGCATACATTTCGTTGCCCTCCCCCTTCTGTGCTCGCTCATTTTGTTAGTGGCCAAAGAAGCTTAATATTGGATGCTTTGCGTTGAGAAATCAATTAGGTTGCGTATACGCCATGTTGCTCCGAATCGGAAAGCAATGTAAGTTGGTAAGCCTATCTGAGCCAGCAGTTTTCAATCGTCGGCTGCTACCAGCTTCAATGATCATATTCAAAGTAATAGGCACAATTTAATTTTTAGATATGTAAGCTAGCAATTATTTTCAACCTGATTAATTTTCCATCCGATTAAATGCATTCACACTTCAGCTTAGTTTTATTTGCTCGTTTTAAATTTCTTTTCGCTCTGCCTGCTCTACTCGTTCATCTAGCTGAAAGCATTCCGAACCCCTGATTTATGTGGTATAATTAACGTTATCGCTCCGCTCGCAGACCTCACGCGCGCATTAATTTAGCAAATCCGAGTAAAAAGCGCTTAAAAATATAGATTTAGCACGCATCGAAAGCGCGATTTGCCATTCACCGGAATTTAATGAACTGTCAACGCTGTTCGGGGGCAACGGTGCGTATGTGTGATTTATGGTTAGAAAATCAGTTGCAGAAATAGCATGACGATGACCTGAATAACATGTGTGAGGTAAGATTGAATAAATATTAAGGAACACTAATAAGCGAGTGTTTTAAGTTGGAATTGTAAAACAGGAATTTTATAAAACAGTTACTTTTAAACAAATAATACATATCGATAATTGATAGTTAGCAATTAAGCGAATTTATATTGTTAGTGGTGATTACTTTGCAATTAAATGTCGTTGTGTTTTTAAATTTATTTCTGTGCACATTAAAGCTGAAAATGACTGATCATGCATTTAGTATAAACACAAAATAAATCATTAAAAAGTTATTTTAAATTGGTGTAGGTATTTAAAAGTCCGTTTCTATTTACCTTAATTAATGTATTGCTTTTTAGCAAACCCTTTATCCTTTTTTTATATTCCCTCTGACTGCCACCGGCATTTGGAATTTGATTGTTCATGTGATACTGAACCGGCTGCCGGATTTAACTGTTGCATACGCATAAAGGATAATCGCGAGGAGCAGGAGCAGGAGCCGTAATGCATTTCCGTCTTTGCCTGCATGTGAGTAATATTTTAATGAAGACACGGCAGGTTGCAAGTTGAGGGGGCAGGGAAGAAGGCAGCGCCGACATGCCGCGGAATTCCTTTGCCTTGCCAGGCACTTTATCAACTTCCGGCATGTGAGCGATGACAACGAGGACACTATAGCAGGTGTCTCGGTGGGTGGCGGATGTTGGGTGGTGGGTGGAAAACTATGAACGCAAATCAAGCGCAGCCAGCTGCTTGGCAAACTTTCCCTTCGGGGCACACGCGGGAAAATTCGCGGAAACTTGCCACATCGCAATGAGGCTTGGAACGTGCTGAATGTCCTGCTGCCCCGCCCACTCCTTGCAACATCCTTTGCATATTTTAGGAAGTGATTGCGCAAATGCATAATTTAATGACAGGCGATAGAGATGGATGGCGAAAGGAGTTTCGACGGCCAGAGATTTCCTTGCTGCAATTTTGATAAACGTTTTCCTTTTCATTTTCAGGTTGAGCAAGAGTACAATTATACTTAAGCTAGGATTTCAGAGGGGGAAATGCATTGCAGTAATCAAAAAAATTGTAACTGAAAATTTAAATAAAAGTGTGCCATAAATTGTAATTTATTTTATATACTAACCTACTTTAGCTTTAAGAAGGTTTTAGGAAAATTGCCCCTTCACAGACTTCCCATATTTATTCAGCGCTTTTGACCTAATTTCAATTACTACCGATTGTTTGGAAATTTCATATGCATATATATTAAACAACAAGTATTCATTGAATGCACAAATACCAAAACAGGCCCATCAAATTCCAAATGGCAAACAGAAATCAATCAAAATAAACTCAAGTAACTTAGCCACCCGTTTTGCCATCAGCTCTCAAATTTTTATGAACGAAATTCCTTCCGATCGAAACCATCAGCAGCCATATGTAATGCACATCACACAACAGACATGTTTACTCAGTTTTCCTTCTACCAGACCACTGCTGTGAGTATTTTTTATTTAAATTCAAAGTTATTTATATGTCAGGCGAAATTGAAGTTGCTGCGGGGAATGGAAAATGGGTTCTGCGGAGCTTGTCACGACAGCCATTCATCATCGTCTTCGCACAATCGTCATCATCGACAGTGTCAGTCATCATCATTACCGACGACATCCAAAAGATGAAAGTGTCCCGGAGAGTGATGGACCGACTCAGCAATTGAGTTACTCACAATAAAAAGCAATGAATTTTACACAGGAAATGAAAACTAATCACTGTTGTGGGGTTTTGGGCAGATGTGACTGTTTAAGCACATGTTTTAGTGCCTTTCAGCTTTCATAGACATTTTCAAAGGATTCAGAAGAGTTAAATGTTTTTTACTTACGTGCTGTATAATACAAAGGATCCCTAGATTATTCAAGTTTTCTATATTATTTTGAGATTTCTTATTTTATTTTAAATGAAGAAATATATCATATTTGAATGGTTCCAGTTTTATTGCCCATGCCATTGATTGATAACTTTCTATTTAGACAACATCAGCATTAACTTTTCTTTTAAATGTTAAAAAAATATAACTTTTTGCTTATTTTTGTTTTGTTTATTTTTTTATTTAAAATCACTGTTATTGGCACATCTCTGGTTTGAAATCCCGTGACATGCGACTACTTACGACGACATTCATTTGAGTGCCGTGGAGACTATTCGAAAGATATTTCGAACATATCGAAGTAAAAAATATGTGCGTTTGCTGGCATTCCTTTCGATTCCCATTTTCATTTTCACTTGCTCCCTTTCCCCCTTGTACCCCTTTTCAAAATCCCCCCAACCCACTTTCACCCCCCGAAAGTCCACAGTTCTTTGTGTGGCTGTCTCGCGTATCAAAAGACGAAATTGCATAGCATTTGGTCTTGTGTGTCGCAGGAATAAACAGAAAAAAATAAACGTTTCTGTTTATAATAAAGGAGTTACAAAAAAAACTAAATGTAACCAAGCATTGGTTTTCAAACTCTGTATTGAATTTTGATTCCAAATTGGAATTAAGATGAAAAAACATTTGTTTAGGTTGAGATAAATGCTCGCTAAAAAATACAATTTTAAACAAACAGCGACTTATAATTTAAATATATATTAACAGTATTATATATTTATTCATTCTCTAATTTTTTCCCGTGTGGCAAAGAAGCTTTGGTTTGTTGGCGTCTGCTGGAAATTGTCACTTGAAAATTGCCAAGTTGGAGGCGGTAGAGATTACAAATAGGAGAGAGTGAGTTTTGTGGAGTGTGTGTTTGGCTGGTTTTGGTTCGGTGACATATTTAATTTTAAGCAGTGACAGACACACTTGCTGAAAATGTACTGGAAACAGCTTAATGCCATTTTTCTTCTATCCTTTTTTACCGATCAATTTACATTATCCCCGGTCTTTTGCCCTTTTTGGTTTGTTTTGTCTAAAAGTACTGCCACAGTTACCCCACATTAAAGTATTATGAACGTTCTCTTGCATCAATGTGCAATTATAGTAGGTAATTAGTTGAAATTGGCATTAAAGCTACTCGCTGCCTCCCGCACATTAACGTAATTAAGCTGGCAATCTATTGAGAAGCCTTTTCGTTGCCAATTTCGATTACGTGCTTACCATATGAATAACCGACGAAGATGAGGGGAGCTTTGGAAATGGGGAGTGGAGCAACCTTAATGTGGGCAACATAAATTTACATATTATAATTTGCATTGCGAACATATTAAATGCATAATTTTTGAGGGCCAGCAATAACGAGTGGGTAAATATATGGAGAGTGTGGTCGGCGAGGGAGTGGGGATCCTAATTAAAATTGGCTTAAATTCCGATACTAGGGGTTGGAAATAAATATTTCAAATTAATTGAAGGGGACTGAGAGAAAACTTGACACATTTTTATTGGCCAAGGAGTGCAAAACGACTGTGCGCTTCAAATGTTTTATTTCCAGTTTGAAAAACAGGTTTAAATTGGTTTTAATTTAAGCCAATACTTTCGGGACATTATCCAAACTTATCGGGTTAAAAAAAAATTAAATTGAAATGGTATTCCTCTTAGCTGTTATTTGCACCAAGATTGTTTTAAGTGGGTGTACTTAGTGATTGTAGAGATAGGGTTATGATGTCACCTTTTAACAAAACAATGAATAAAGAAAAGATAATACTATTAAAGGTTTGCCTTTAGTAAAAATAAATAGGACTTTATTCTTCAAAGGGTTTTAAAATGAATTATATTTTTTACCATTTTTAAAAATAATAGTTTTTTTGTTTGCAATACTCCTCAAAGTTTAGCCTTAAGGCTATTTAGTAAATTATATCGATAAGCAAAAGTATCAGACAACACATTGGATTTTCCAGGACCATCGAAGATTTCTTTTAATGTCATTTCCTGAAAGTCAATGCTTTTAAGCATATCGGTAATCTGATCTGTAATTGATGAGCATTTACTGTCGAAATTATTTTCATTAAACCAGTTTTCTATCATGTTGAAACGTCTTAGTTCAGAGATAATTTTTTTGGTGCTCTGAAAATATTCCTTAAAACAGTCGAGTTCCATTTTTGCAGTAGATGGACAATCTATTTTGTGGGGCCATTTTTCGTGCAAGAACTGTAAATATGATTAGCTAGTTAATAAAAAAAAATACGCTTATTGTTACATTTTTTTACCTGAACTACCACTATCATTAATAGCTCATGGTCCACAAAAAAAGACACAGCATAAAGTCTGAAAAGCGTATTTGGTTCCATATACTCGCATAAGGTTAAAAGGATTTTGGCGCATCTCCCTTCTACTTCTGTGGCCAGCCACATATTCGCACACTTTAAAACAGACATTAGTAATTCTGGTTCCAGGTCGTCCAATTGATCATCGTTCGGCTTGTAAATAAACTCAAGAAACATTTTAAATACTTCGGGTGTTACGCCCTCTAATGTAACTTCTCCCGTTTGCTCATCATCATGTTGAAATAGTTTCTCGAAGAACTTAGAGGCACATGCCAAAACAATTTTGTGACAACGAAAACTGGAGTCACCAACATAGATGCATACATCAGAGAAAAGACCCGACTTAAGCAGCTTGGTTCCCCAACTCGACCTGAATATAAAATGATAATATTTTCGGCAATCAGAATTTTAAAGAAAATTTTAATCTTACTTGGAGAAGACACTCATGTTAATGCTTAAGGTTACGACGTTTCGTTTCGATCGATTAAATGCAACTGGCCAGCAAAACTAATGTGACACTGTTTTGAAAATAAGATAGGAGTTTGTCACGTTTGAATGCAAAAAGATTTTAGCAGCTGTACAGTAGAATCCCGATTATCCGGATCAATTAAAACCAGGGGTATTCCGTATAATCGAAAATCCGGATAACAGATTTAAAAGCAAATCAAATAATATTTAATTTTTTATTATGTAATGGGTTTTACTTAGATATATAAAAAACAAGCTACCTTATCTGTTCTTATATCATTTCACGAAAACTTTAAAAGGGTATTTTACTATCCATTTTTTATCCATTTTCCAAAATTATATTCTTGATTATATTTGTAACTGTTTATTAATAGCTAGCCGTCTGTCCCTTTCTTTGATAAGTTACACGAACAAAGAACTATACTCACGTAATCATTGATTCGCGATTATATATAAGTTATTACTCACGTCGTACTTTTCCTGTATATTTAATGGTATGTTAGTAAATTTGTAATTGCATTCAAAATAATTTTTTTACATCAATCCATTTCTTTTGAGTTTGTAAACACACTTTGCAGAAATATAACTCGAAATATTTCCCGACTTGTTACACTTATTTACGACACTTGCCACCAGCTGGCTGGCGAAATAATATTATTTAATGACAAATGCGCATAAAATTTAAATCAAATCCCATTAAAACTGTCGCCTGGTTGCCCTAATGGGCCATCAAACCCCGTATAGATATAGTACGAGATGTGGCAACATTCTGCTTTTATGACAACTTATGGAAATTGATGGCCATCTTCTTCTGCGAGGGAGAGCAAAATAATCGCGGGTCTCCCGACTGTCAGACACACAAACAAAAAAACGGAAACTTCCAGCTCAACTTGAGTGATGTCTCGAGGGGGTCAGGGGGGTTTGGATACCCCCGTGGGGTTGGGGGAATTGGAAAATGGCGGGGGCTGGTGTTGCCACTGACATTGATGATGACGTTGGCCAAGGGCGTTGACAATGTTTGTCAGCCGAGCAGGCAACTTTGACAGGGCGTCAACAAATGGAGACAGACAGCAGCCACGCCCCCTTCTATAACCCACTACATCCTCATCTCCACAGCCCCCTTAATCCAGTGGGGATCGGAGTGGCTGGGCGGTTGAGTTTCAAAGAATCCTTCAAGTGGCGCTTTTTCCTCTTTCGTCTGTAATGAGCTGCTCTTGGCCTGCGCTTAATTGTGGTCCACTCTAAACAGAAAAGAAGGGGAATGTTGCAGAGAAAGAAAACTGGAAACGTATCTTATCTTAGGTTCTTCTACATTTATTGGACAGTAGAAAATATTCGTGAAATGCAGTACAGAGCACATAACCAATTTAAAGCAATATAATACAATCATTTTAAAGATAAGTTGTTTGAATAAGGTAATAAGATTTGGATACATAAATTAAAACATTAATATGTTCTGTGCTGAATTTTTATTTACCCACTTATAACAAAAAATTCAAATAAAAATAATATATAATATTTAGCAACCACTTTAGTTTTCTTTCAGTGTTTCTTTTTAGTTTTAGTTTGAAGAGAGATATAGAACACCACGCTTATTGTTCACTGCGGTGCAATCCTTGCTAAAACTTAAACTCCGACGTCCAAGTTCCGAGCACTCGCAATGAAAATCAAACGATAAGCGGCAGTTTTTCCCGCACAGTTTTCCCAGTCTGTGGGGGCAATTAAAGGAAAAGTTCGTTACAATTGGGAAAGGGGCTAAAATGAAGATAACTTCTGCGGAAGTAGTAAACTGCGTGGATTAAGTGTTTAGGAAAGAGCTTCTAAGTAAGAGAAAAAGGGAGCTAAGTAAACATTGTTGGCGGCGAATTTTGTTCCTTTACAAAAAATTGAAAAACTAATACAATACATTTTTTGTGAAACATATGCATTGAACAAACTCACATATGCCATTTAAATGAACTTTTTACCCACGGAACCAACTGAAAAACTAATCGCTGAGCATTTCTAGTCACGTCCAAAGATATTTTCCCCGAACTCCACTGACCCCACTTGGCTCCACTTTTCAGTTTTCAGGCCACACACAATTAGCAAATGGAGGCGGGTCCATAACTCAAGTCGAAGGGGAAACTATTTAGCATGTTAGTGCACACTTTAAATATATTCCCGCAACAGTGCCTAGTTCTCAGGCAGCAGGGTGACCTGCATTTCGGATCCAACTTGGACCTGAAATCGGACTTGGATCCCGGCACGTGCCGGGAAAAAGTTGCCAACGCAGGCAGAAAGAAGTTACTTTTGCTTGCCTCATTAGCATGCGACACCAAAGGGCATTAAATCACATTTTGCATTTGACGCAGCAGCAACTTGCAATTGCAACCGTGCAGCACTGAAAAATAGTGGCGAGAGCGGGCAGATTTCTGCAAGATATACAAAAAAGACAGACTATGAATTCTGATGACTTGCCCGAGTTTTCATGTGAGGCGCATGCCAGATAACAGCAGTTCGAGATGAAAGCGTGAAGTGAGAGTATAAGAACCTACACTGGGAGAATATAAAAATAAAGTACAAAGTACAAAAATTCCTTTAACTTGTTTAGAAATTATTTGATCTATTGCAAAACATTTTATGGTATATTAAATTATTTTATTAATGGAATTCCAATACCAATATCTTAATCATATTGGTTAGATTATTAAAGATTTATTAAGTGTTCTACAAAAATTAAAGGATAAACCTTGCGCATGTTTAGGTATTTATCACTTAATCCTTAATAATTTCTTTTTATGCATGCATCTATTCATTATTCTGGGATCTAGCCCTAATAGCTATTTTTTGATAAGTTTTCGAATGAAGTCCTTTCGCTGCACTCCCATGAGTCACGTTCCTATCCTGCACATCCTTCTTCGCTTCTCAACTGCATTGAATACCTCCAGTGCGGCTTGTTTGTTTTTGTTTGGGCTCCGGGTTTGCTCGTGTATCGCTCCTTTTATCTGCTTCCCACTGCCGCATGCAGGATGCATTTGGAGCCCGTCCATCCCGGCGGATCCTTGTGCACGTTCCTAGCCGCATTCCCGGCTATATTCGCCCCGCAGGAGTAATTCCAGTCTGCAGTTGGCAATGAAAACGTCTTGCATGTGGAATTGACAAAAAGGCAAAGCAGCGGGCAAAAACCATGTGAGTGTTTTTGCCGCGATTTCCGACGGCCAGATACCCGCTATGTTATTATTAATTTCTTTTTGTGAATTAAGAGCTGAGTACTATAGTTGCTGCAAAACATAAAGAAGAATGCTATCCTTTCTGAACAAAAAAAAAAAAACTGTATGCGTTTATTTAGTATTCTTTTGAAAAATTATATATGTAGATTCATGTAAAATTTAAGCTCTTTCTTTTAAGATCCACATTTAACATGACTGCCCAAACAATGTTCTTATATTAATATCATGTATTTACATTATAGATGCTAATATTTTACTATTTTTTACCTCATTCAATACCTAATAAAAACGCTTAGTACTCAATTGTTTATTTTCTTTAGGTACAACCATTTTTAAAATACATTTATCTACACAAACTGGTTATCATAAATTCAAGCTACCTTTTACATGTAAAGCAAGTCCAGGGTAAAATAAAGAAGCTGGCGAACTCATTCAGCTAACCTGGAACTCGAAGTCCGCCTGCGAGCAACGAAATCATAAATAAGACTCCGTTCATGTGCACCTTTCTGCTCATTTTGCCTCGGGCCAGAAGTTGTTAAGTTGTTGGGAGCGGCATTGAAAGTGGCCAAGAGGATCGACAGCAAGGAACCTGCTCGAGAACAACCCTTAAGGACTCGAACTCAGGACTCCAGCCCGATCCGAGGCCAATTCCCGGACTGGCACTTTAATTTCTTTAATGCAGCTGCACCGTATTTGATTTTGCGGTGCACTCGAGCTTTTTGCCAACCACTTCGTTCCATTGGGAATTTATTTCCCTTGGTTTTCCATTTGCTTGTTTGCCCTTTCGCCGGTTGTTGTCCTTTCGTTGTGATTGCAAATATTTTATGGTTTTAATTTGTGTTTGTGCATTGCTTGAAAATCTTCTGTTATTTGCCAAGCATTTCATGCTCGAAACTAGTATTTCATTTTGAGGTTTCCCTGAACAACTCATCGAGTTTTTGCCGCTTTCTTGAGGTCCACTCGTTGTAGTTGATAAAACAATAAATCGGTTTTGTTTATGTTGTGGTCGGAGGTAGACATGTTTGACTACGATATAAATATTTGGAATTTGGCTCTCTGAAACCGTTTGGTTTAAAAGAATTTTGACAGCTCACAGTGCTTATGGCAGGATATCAAATTATTATTTTAAATGACTAAAAGAGATAACATTTGAGTGTATTTTCTTTACATCTTTCGATTGCATTTGATACTTTTCTTCACTGGGTTGATTTGATTATTATAAAAATACACAATAACAACGTAAAATCCCTAAGGGCCTTAATGACGTTTTATAATGGTTGCTGAATGGTTCATATACGTTTATTCAAATAATTAATAATATATAGAGTTTCTCTTGGTCTTTTCAATTAATTTTCTTTCCGTTGAGATTCGACCTTATCCCCAAATCCATTTATCTTCCGTTGGCAGATCTGAATCCCTGGGGAAACTCAGCTCGCCATAACTATAACGAATTCAATTAATATGCAAAGTGGGTTTGTCAAAAAATAAAAGTGGACAACCGGCAAAGTTAACTCCAGCTTGCAGCCCAGTCTAGCGATTTAATAATTAAAGCGTAGCCAAGAAGATTTACCCACACGCACTTTCATGGAGAATTCCCCTCTGAATCCACCGGAGAAGCTCCAGGTAAGCCAAACTGATAATCACTCAATTTGCTTTGGGGCACAAAACTATGAAGTTAACTCAGCTTGTCGAAAGTTCCACGACGAGGAACCGCATTTAGCAGGGAGACTCTGCGTTACAGAGGGCGAAACTTTTATGAAATTATAT